ACAGTTAATGTGGGGTGATACCCAGAAAGACAGATAATGTGGGGTGATATCCAGAAAGACAGATAATGTGGGGTGATATCCAGAAAGACAGTTAATGTGGGGTGATACCCAGAAAGACAGATAATGTGGGATGATATCCAGAAAGACAGGTAATGTGGGATGGTACCCAGAAAGACAGATAATGTGGGATGGTACCCAGAAAGACAGATAATGTGGGATGGTACCCAGAAAGACAGATAATGTGGGATGGTACCCAGAAAGACAGATAATGTGGGATGATATCCAGAAAGACAGATAATGTGGGATGATATGCAGAAAGACACATAATGTGGGATGATATGCAGAAAGACAGGTAATGTGGGATGATATCCAGAAAGACAGACCATGTGGGATGATATCCAGAAAGACAGGTAATGTGGGGTGATATCCAGAAAGACAGACAATGTGGGGTGATACCCAGAAAGATAGATAATGTGGGATGATTTCCAGAAAGACAGATAATGTGGGGTGATATCCAGAAAGACAGACAATGTGGGATGATATCCAGAAAGATAGATAATGTGGGATGATATCCAGAAAGACAGACAATGTGGGGTGATACCCAGAAAGACAGATAATGTGGGGTGGGATGGTACCCAGAAAGACAGATAATGTGGGAGATATCCAGAAAGACAGATAATGTGGGATGATATCCAGAAAGACAGATAATGTGGGGTGAGACCCAGAAAGACAGATAATGCTGGGTGATATGCAGAAAAACAGATAATGTGGGGTGATTCCCAGGAAGACAGATAATGTGGGATGATATCCAGAAAAACAGATAATGTGGGATGATATCAAGAAAGACAGATAATGTGGGGTGATATCCAGAAAGACAGATAATGTCGGGTGATATCCAGAAAGACAGAAAATGTAGGATGATATCCAGAAAGACAGATAATGTGGGGTGATATCCAGAGAGACAGATAATGTTGGGTGATATCCAGAAAAACAGAAAATGTAGGATGATATCCAGAAAGACAGGTAATGTGGGGTGATATCCAGAAAGATAGATAATGTGGGATGATATCCAGAAAGACAGATAATGTGGGATGATATCTAGAAAGACCGATAATGTGGGGTGATATCTAGAAAGACAGATAATGTGGGGTGATATCCAGAAAGACAGACAATGTCGGGTGATATCCAGAAAGACAGATAATGTGGGATGATATCCAGACAGACAGGTAATGTGGGGTGATATCCAGAAAGATAGATAATGTGGGATGATATCCAGAAAGACAGATAATGTGGGGTGATATCTAGAAAGACCGATAATGTGGGGTGATATCTAGAAAGACAGATAATGTGGGGTGATATCCAGAAAGACAGACAATGTTGGGTGATATCCAGAAAGACAGATAATGTGGGATGATATCCAGACAGACAGGTAATGTGGGGTGATATCCAGAAAGACAATCTGCGTGTGGCTAATATGTAAAGGTTCAGTTTGCCAGACACTGATTTAAATAAATTGTATAGTGTGCACTATGGCTGTCTCTAAATTAATCGCTAATTAAATAATTTCTTTGCAGGCAATATGATTACATGCTATAACCAGACAGATGCCAATTCTACAGCTTGGTTTGTGACTAATATGGGTTCATTTTTTACATACACAAGCCAAGGTGACCTGGCACTCTTCGCCAATTCAACCATCGTAAGTTATTCACTTTTCACAAAATATACAATAAACCTGATATTCTAATTACATAGATAACAAGATGATGAATGACTTATGGTCATTAAGACCAAGTGTAACATTTTGCAATTGTATAGCTTTTTTTCTGTCCAAAATATAAAATGCCGCCTGTGCAAAATAGATGCTTCATTTAAAAAATATTAAAGCAGAAAAGTGCAATTTTTTGAGATCCCCGTTGAAGTACACTTCTCTGCCTCCTGGTGGCGCTTTTGCTTTGCCGTCTGTAGTTAAATCTCCTACTTGTATTTGGCATTGAATTCATACTTAGCACACGCCAGTAAATTTGTGCATCATGCTCCTGTACAGTTTATGCATCAATTTTTCTCTCTTTTCACAAACAATAGAAATAGTTTATTAAACAAGAGGGGGTTGGCTGCACTCACCTTAACATGCATAAATGGGGGTGCTGCTGGGGGCCAAATAATACAATACACAAGATCCAGCGCACTCACCTATCCACTAAACAGCAACTTCAATGTTGAAAGATTTGATTTGTTTTTTAAAAACACCTAATCTAGGCAAAAATAATGGGGGTTTAGTTACATTATATGATCATACAGTGCATAAGCCTGCCACAACGTCAATGTACCCCATCTTTGGCAGGTCCTACACTAACAACCTAATGTCTGCTCTTATGAGATTAACCTACTTGGGGAAAAATTCCATCTGGGGCTCTCTGCCCCAGATGGAATTTTTCCCCAAGTAGGTTAATCTCATAAGAGCAGACATTAGGCTGTTAGTGTAGGACCTGCCAAAGATGGGGTACATTGACGTTGTGGCAGGCTTATGCAATGTATGATCATATAATGTAACTAAAAGCCCATTATTTTTGCCTAGATTAGGTGTTTTTAAAAAAACAAATCAAATCTTTCAACATTGAAGTTGCTGTTTAGTGGATAGGTGAGTGCGCTGGATCTTGTGTATAGAAATAGTTTATTGTTTTGTCTTATTTGTAGGTTTTGTCATACTTTTCTAGGTGTACGACAAT